CCAGCGTTGAACTCACGTCGTGGCCCATCAAAGCTCGTGTCCTAATTGACTGGGCTGCCACGATCACCAGACTCAGCCCATACCTCTCTGTCACCTCGTCCAGGCTTGCATTCTTCACTTCGTCTTTGATGTCTTTCCTTGTATTATATGTGGCACAAGATCCCCTTATACCTGTCTTGGGATCTTGGATAGGACAGTGAGGATAAATATCTGGCGGGACGCTCGACTGAAATCAGACATGTGAAAGGAATACGAATGAGAATTTAAGTAAACAGAAGTTAAGTTTGAAAGAATGGAATTAAAGTATCGAGAAGTCAAATTATTCGTAATTGCAAAACCTAATCTTCTTACCCATACAGCACAGTTGGTTGCAGTTACATTGCAGAAACGTTGCGATCTTGCAGATTGCAGTGCAATCTTGCAGAGACATTGCAAGGGTATAAAATTGCAAACTTTCGATAGCAATATTGCAGCAATGTTTCGAAAATAATGAAAATACTATACTTTCTATTTAAAAAATGTTTCTAATTACGAGAATTTTATCATGTTATTTTCGTCGATACCAATAATGCGCGAATTATTAAGTACTTGGTCAGTGCGGTGTGGCTCGCAATCTCCATCTATTGCGAAGCGACATAATCTCCTTAGGTTGCTTCGCAATAGCTTGCTGTGTATTGAAAAAGGCCCGGATGCATATGTAATTAGTAAATTCTCTGCTTACGTACAACAACAAATTATTCTAAAAATATTGCGCCGCAACATTGCTATAATGTTGCACTGCAATCTCTCTGAGGGCGGACACTTCAACGTTGCTGCGATCCTCCAGAAACGTTGCAGCAATGTTGCGCAACGTCGCTGCAATATTGCAATCTTGCAATGTAACATTTCTGCAATCTTCCTGCAATCTTTCCGTGCTGTGTGGGTAATAACGTGACAAACAGTTAAATTGTTCGCAAAGCTCTATGCAAAGAATTTCAGAGAAAGTCGTGCATGCATCAATAATATATTAATATTCTCACCGGTTCTTGTATAGTGCCGAGATAAGGAAACGTGTTCTCTCGGCGCGATTTAATCGAACAGTGACTTGCGTGCTGACGGACGCCCGAAATTTACCTCAGCTGACGACCCGGCGACACTCACTGTTTACGGTCTCGCGAAGTCTCTCGAAGGTAGACTTATTTGCCCGGGATGTAAGCTGGTAACAACGGAGTCACCGAACAGCCAGATTGACCCAAAACATTGAGTCGGTCGCTATCGGCGAAGGCAACCGTAGGAATCAAATCACCGTTCGATTATAACACGCACTTTCTCGAACAAAAACAATTCAGAAATTTTCCGAAAGATCGCGTATTGAAACCGATAGGGGCGGATCAAAATTAACACGGAGATACCGGATTGAAAACGATTCAGAAATTTTTCGAAAGACCGCGTATTGAAACCGATAGGGGCGGATCAAAATCAATGCGGGGATACCAGATTCAAAAAAGGATTTAGCTGGAAAATCATGGGTTGAAACCGATAGACGCGGATCAAAATCAATCTAGAAATTCCCGATTGAACACGATTCAAATCTGACCCTATCCGCGTCAATCGGTATTTTCCGCATCAAGAATCCAGATTCATTCGGATTCAAAATTTTCAATCGGTTTTAATCGGGTATTTTCAACAGGGAAGACAAACATTGATCATTGATCTGGGTTTGATTCTCGAGTTCATTCGAACGAGATCGTATGCGAAAATGCTGCCCTTACAGAAAAGTTGCAAGTCGATTGACTGAAAGCTATGCGAATAGCCAGTCAACTTGCAACTTTTCTGTAAGAGCAGAATTTACGTATACGTTTCGCCTTTGAATGAAGTCAAGAATCGAGCCCCAGTAATTAACAATCAAGAAATACAGAGCCACATTAACATCTCAGGCCTATTCTGACAATACGTCGTATGTCGCTGTCGGGGATGTCGGAACGTAGCCGATGGTCCAATGAGAAAATTAATTATTTTTTTGTCCGGACAACTGGGGCTCAGTCATGAATCTTTTTCTCTAGCCTGAACTCGTGAAAAGTGAAACATTTCATAAATATTAGACTCGTCAATGAAATTTTCTCACTTTTCACGAGTTCACGCAAGAGAAAAAGATTCATGATCGAGCTCCTGATAGCGACATTTGTGTGCAGGAGCCATAAGAAAACGTACCAATCAGATGAGCGCTCAGTGAGCATATTCATGGAACCAGAGAAACCGAGGGTCTGTTTTTTATAGCTGCACTAGTTCAGAGTTTATCTTTCTCCTAATTCTAATGTTATCTTTCTCCTATTTCTAATGTGGAGGGAAAAAGATAAACTCTGAACTAGTGCAACCAGTTGAGCTATAAAAGAATAGACCCCCAACGTAGCCTGACGGTCGCGCATGCGCGAAAAACTCATTGCCAACACTGATCGGAGCGCAGGCAGCCTTTGTAACATAACTGCATAACAGATTCGATAGTGGCTACGTCGGTGGTTATATTCTGCACGTGGTTACTTTTTGCGAATCTTAGCGTCTTTGTACCTGGCAATAAAATTATTGTTGTACAGTAAGTGTTTCGTGTGGCATGTTGGTTGGTTACGTTCAACATTTTTTCAATTAATTTCAAGATTACTTACGTACGTAATATTTACAGGTATTATGTCAGGCAGCATCAGATGCAAGACCGATTTGTTCGAGGGTGAATAATCAATCATTATTTGATATCTGCCATATTACGTCACATAGCCCGAGATTGGACTTAAAAAAACGCGTTGGCTCCACGCCAGGAGCAATCTAACCTCCCAAAGCAGACTCCAACATTATTCAATTTAATTGCCAAAAATTATTCCGATTTCTGCGCACGACGGCGTGAATATTAATTACGACAATTGTATATTACAGATTATTGCAGGACCGACAACTTCGATGAGTTGCAGGTTCAATTGTACTCGAAAATCTACTATAACTATGAAGATGAATCGCGAGCTGTAGCATCTTCGACAACAATTGATGACATGGCTACCAAAACGAACGTTGAATCAGAGATGCAGCAACCTCGCGAACCTGAAGTACAACTTTTGACACTTGAAGCCGCTGCAGGTAAAGCTAGTAAAACTAAGAATCCAAAATACCAAAATAGAACGTTACGAATAGAATACTCTAAGGCCGGTATTCATAGTCGGATCTTCTATCCAAGACCGTCTTGAATTTATCTAAAGATGCTGTATGGAACATTTCATTGGCTACGGAGTATCTAAAGATGATCTTAAGACGGTCTTGAATATAAGATCTGACTATGAATACCGGCCTAAGAAAGAATTTCATTACGAGACATCAATTTGCAATAATATGTGTGCACTTTATTCAGCAGATTCTCAAGAGACTATCTCTACAAATGAGACAGAGTTTGCCCAAGTCAATACATTAGCTGGTAGAAAGAAGAATCTTGTCGCACAAGAATGCAGCAATGGGAGTTTACAGAATCCTTCAGCGACACAAGAAAAAGAAACCCAAGGAACTCCTTCCAAAAAGCACGGATCTTCCAAACGCGCAAGAAATGTACAACTAGAAAGCCCTGAAGATGGCCAAAATGATGCAGCATATTCGAAGTACAATGTTGTCTCGAAATGCATGAAGAAACAGATACTTTTAGCCAAACGAACTGATAAGGGTGATGACGATTCCGATACTGATGAATCTGTATGTGAAGTACCTATTCCACCGAAACCAAAACCGCCACTCATAGATTTGGAAAATTCCGACGAGGAAGATTTACCTTGGAGATTCACCGAGGCAAACGAGGGCAATTTAATTTTGAAAAAATGTACGGACAATACTAAGGCGAAAACGTATTTAAAAGTTCCAAAAGTTACCTTATATGATAGAAATGTCTGGTTACACCTCTTTAAAGCATCAAGTAGTCATAAAAATATATCTTCCAAAAGTCAGAATACTGATAGATCGTCTAACGGTGCAGCAAACGAAACTGTTGGAAAGTCGACTTGCATACAGGAACTTCGAGATGATATTCTTTTAAATTGCACAGTAATTCAAAAAGGTGCTAAAAGCGTAAACGAAATTAGACAGTTATCGAAAAGTGTTGGGACGAATCAAGGAAGCAAGTTGATCGAAGATACAAATCAGAAGAAAAAATCGCCGCAGAGCAAGTCGAAAGGAAATAATGAAAATAATCCGCAAGAAGAGCCTACAACATCAGAGAGAAACAACCAAGCAAAGGCGCAACAAAATGTTGACGAAAGTAACGTACATGATACGTGTACTGTTAAAGCGTCAGAAACGAAGTTAGACAGTACAATAATAGACCGGAAGAGGCAAAGCACAAATGACGAGGTTGATAGTCAGCCTAAACACAAGCGACAGTGTACGACTGGGCAGAGCAGTCAAGACATTACGCCGCAAGGTAACGGCGGAAAGGAAGGGAACGCATCGTCTAACGAGTATTTGGAATCACTGTCGGAGGAGATGAGAAAGTACTACAATGAAAGTCATGGCCAAGAGAATTTTAACATTGAAAAGTTGCAGCAAGGTATGTCGAAGGATCCGCAAATGTGGGCTATTCTGGATGAAGATATAATGCCGTGTCCCTCCAGCAAACGTGCCAGATATTCCAATATCAAATGTGTTAATTGCCTTGGGAGCGGCCATCAGCGTTACGATTGTATGTTACCACGTAAATGGTCGTGTTGCTATATGTGCGGCATGAAGAACCACACGGATTCTGAATGCCCGCAGAAGATGTGTCTGACATGCGGTAAGCGGCAGAACACGTTTAGTAACATTTGTAAATATTGTCGCGTTCTATATTGTACTATGTGTAATTCGATAGGGCACGAGCAAGATCAATGTCCCGATCTTTGGCGAAGATACCATCAGACGACCGACGCGAGTAACGAGCCGCAGGATCCGGGCAACGTGATGAAGCCGTTAAGATTGTTGTACTGCTGTAATTGCGCCAAGCGCGGCCACGAATCGTCCACATGCAGGGAATATCGACCGTACAATCACTTTCCTACTCCAGCTATTGTCACAAACTATACGGACGGGCCTAAATATATTCCAAATGTGCCAAGTATCTCGCAATCTGAGCCTGAGACCGGTCCTTCGTCACTTGAAAACAAAACAAATCCAAAAAATACTTCTGATACATCACCTATGAAGACCATAGACGTGGCACCTGTGAAGACCATAGACGTGGCACCTGTGAAGACCATAGACGTAGCACCTTCTGTCAATGTTAGCACGTTGTCATCGAGTGTTAATTTTTTTATTACGCCAACTTCAGAAGACGTTGCTATGTGCATCTCGCAAATAGACGAAAACTTAAATTCTTCTCCTGCAAGAAACATTTGGTCCACAGTAAAAACAAATCTCAAGCAGACCAAAGTAAGCAACGTACCATTTACTAACATTTTATTTTCTTATGGTCGTATTAAGAACACAGATCATAAGGATGTACGGATGATTTTAGAAAATCTTACTACATTCTTTCGAAACAAAAAACATGCGTTGACTGGTTTAATATACCGCAAGATTACTCCGATATTTCTTAAAACATTGCAAGGAAAAGGAATAGAGTTTGAAGTGAAAGTAGGCTTTACCCAACATAATACTGTATTGTTAAGAATACTAGCAATGAAAGAATGTATAGAGTACTTGTATGATTTGTTGAAGTATTGGCTCAACCTCCCAGACAAAGAGAAATTTTCTGGGATAGACGTGAATCTACCTGTACATCCTATAAAGATGTTCAATCTCCTAAATGGCAGAATGTCACAACTCACGAAACTGGGTTTCACATGTTATACCGAACACATAGGGAATGGAGATAATGATCCACGATGGCTTTATAATTTCATAAAAGCTGAACGAGCCAAGTTGGAGCAAGACAAACGGGGACGTCAACACGCGTGGAGGCAGTTGTGGCGATTGCAAGTTAAGCTTCTCATGATCGTCAACACCGAGCCTAAACCGAATATTTTCGTACGTACGTTTCTAGAGGTGATGCAGAAATTTGCACCGGAACAATATCAGATGGGTCCGAGGTTAGACGATACTACTTATCTTAGATTTATCCTGCTTTACAATCAGCTATTTGTACCTCACACATCGCCGGATACACCTGCGACGTTAGATCGGTTTACATTGGAGGAAAATATCAATTTGCGGCAGGAGGCGATACGTGAACGAGGAGACAGAAATTTCCCGTCCACGTCGTCTTCCATCCCACAGAATATTAAAGTCGACCATTCTTCCACGATTAATGATCAACAGAATAACAAAACGTTAGTCGACAGACAAAATGTGAACAATACTTTGCTTGAAATGAGCACAACAACGGCTCGTAAGGGCGATGAGAAAATAATAAAAAATTTGACGCAGAATTCTCAGATTAAGCGATTAAATATCGAGCCTATGTGGGCTAAATCGAAAGACAATCAATCGAACGAAGTAAAGGTGTCTCCTGTACCGGCGAACAAACCGAATAAAAAGCAGCTATATTATTCGAAAAAAGAAAGAAAAATAAGACTAAAGGAATTGAATGACATTATAAAAAGCCAAAACGAAAAGAATATACATAATGCAGCGGTAGGTCTTATAAAAGAGGCCCGTTCCTATAAACTACCACTTCTGATAAATGCAGCAGACGAAATGCAAAGACAGATTAGGAATCAGACACTTACTCCCAAACATATCCGGATGTTGTTTAAGTTGATTATAGTACAACAGAAATATCAAAAAGACGTTAATATTTGTTGCAAAAATTTGAAAGAATAGTTTGTATAAATTAATTACATGCTCGTTCAATTTTATGTTTTCGCCTTTTATAAGGTCTGTACATTTTAACTGTACATGAAAACGTGTAACATTATCAAAGAACCGAGATAATTGTATAATGTATGTGAGAGGAGAGAATATATGTTGCGAAAAAAATGTTATAAAAGTTGAAATGCGCACGTGTAAATATTTCACTTTACAACACGTGCGCACAACGCGAAGAGAATTTAACCATACAACATACAAATCTCCTTTGCTGACAATCTATCCTAATGTTTGTAATCAAAACTATTGTTTTCAAATGTCAGTTTAAAATGTCTCATAATTGTAAGTCAATTTTTTCTTTTGTAATACTATGTTTTTTGACAAATCATTAAAAAATTCTAATTCACATTCTTGCCCACTTTATTACGTCATTACCATAATGAGAACTACGCCTTACAATGCTTATCTCGTAGCATCATTTTCTTAAATAATTAATCTTAAATGTGAAGAAAGACTTTATTTCATGTTTCATAACTTATGTATTCCAAGATAATTAATTCTTATGTTACTTTAATACGCTTATCATCATACGTCTTCCTATTGTATTTACAACATCCAACGCAAGAGATACACAAGAGATAAAAGTCCTTGGTCTTGTTATTTCTTCATCGGCGGTGGACCGACCATCGGGGGTGGCGGCCCGTTCATCGGTGGTCTCATGTGCCCCATATGACCTAGAGGACCCATCATAGGACCCATCGGCCCCATCGGCGGTCCCATCATAGGCGGTCTCATGCCCATCATAGGAGGCGGCATCGGTCCGTGCGGTCCCATCATCATCGGGCCTCCCGGCCCCATCGGGGATGGGTGCATACCCGGCGGCGGCATCATTCCCGGCGGTCCCTGAGGCGGCACTCCGGATCGCGAGCCAAGGTTGGAGCCGAGGTTCGGCGGTGGTGGTATCGCCGCGCCCTTGTTGGCCGCGAAAGGATTGGAGGCGATCTTACCGGCCTTGAAAGCGGCCGTCGTCGCGTCGATCAGGTGCTGAGCCTGCTCCTCCATCCATTTCTGGTAGAAATACTTGACGTTGTCCTTGTGCTTGCGACCCTGGCAATGAGTCTTCCGCACGCTCGGCGAGTCATGTGTCAGATAAGTGTCGCAATAGTCGCAATAGTATTTCGGCATCGATGCGCCTCTCGAGAAATTCCGCTGCTTTTGTCAAGTCAACGCAACCTTCCGCGTTTTTCTCGATTTATATCGCGCTCGCTGAGAGAAAGAGGAAAACTAGCGAGCGACGGAAACTTCTAGGTTATGAGCGGATATATGCGGTTATGTTGTCAGCGGCAATTTTTAGGTGCACTCGGTACATTCGGTGCTACACCGGTCGCCCACAGTCGCCGGACGCCGAGTGGATAGACAATAATCGAATGTGATTGGCTCGTACGTTTGTGTCCAACCAACTATATTCAAGCACTAGTTCGTCGCTGATCGATAAACAGCATTTCATTGTGGCGAGTCCACAACGGAAAAAGTGAAAACTATCGGATTGGCCAACGGCGCGAACAACGCGAATAGCAGTCGTGACACATTTATTATATTACATTTACATTGTTGAATAAGAAATTGTAACATAAATGCAATGTAATTGATGCTCGGTGTTCGTTGGGTAAAAACACTTTAAAACAAATTTTAGTGGCACTTTTAGCGATAAAAGAGGATTCAGAACATGGATCTTATTGGCTGAAAACATCTTCTATACATGGAGAGAATTTTCTTTTAAAATGTATTCTGAAAATTACGTAATTGTGGGACAACACGGCATTTCGAAGAATTTTATGAGGTTTTTTTAAATTTTTGCCATACATTTCACTAGTAATTATATTATATATAATAATACTTAGTATACATTTTACTAATGAAATGTATGGTAAAATTTCAAAAATCTCTCATAAAGTTCAAAATGCCACGTCCTACAATCACGTAATTTTCAGGATAAATTTTAAGAGAAAATTCTCTCCGTGTACTGGCATTTTTATTGATAAATGAGGATTCAAAATATGGATCCTAGTATCTCGATTGTTAGAATGACCTCCGATTCGAGCGACATTTACTAATATATATCATTAACGTTTCGTTGCTTGAGCAAAACTAGACTAGATAAGAGAAAGCGGATTATTAAATTAAAAGGGTTGCTTTAAACAATTCTGCACGTAAATTAATTGCCATTAAATTAAATAGAATTGAATCGCGAATACTTTCACCGGCGTGCTTGTTGTATTTTTTCATATTCCTTTAAAAACTTATTATAAATTATAAGCTATAACATAGTTAAAACTAAAATTATCTTTTTTACTTGTACGTAAACGTCAAATGCAGAAGAAAAGGAATTTAATATAATATTCTAATTTCACCTGGCCAATTATTCTAGACCCTAATCGAGAAGGATCAAGACAGAAAGTCACGAAAAAATTTGAAAATAACCGTGCACTCTCAAAATCCAGTCGTGAGGATTGCCCCATCCATGTTCAAGATAAAAAAATCATTTTCCATAGACTATCGAATTAAATCGCTGTGGAGAAATCGAGCGATCGTAATCGGCATAAATGACGATTGCTCGTGCAATAATTAATTAATGTACTCACTATGCGGTAATTGATTGTGAAATGGTGGTGGTAATGATTCCAAATTGCCTGCGAATTCATGGAGTATGGAAGCATTGTTTGGTGGACGTGCAGAAGGTCGATCAAGTGGTGGTGGATGTAGTGGACATAGATGTGGATGTACAGGTAACGAGTGAAATGAGTTTGGAAAACATTGAGGTAGCTGTGGAGTTGAGTGCGAATCTGAGGAAAGGTACCAGACACCCCTGTGGAATACAGGATTAATTGGAAATCCTTCCACGTTATATCCATACTGCTCAGGTCTCTGGTTCATGTAGGTCTTCTGTTCTTCATGAGGATTGGTCATGTCGTCGATACAGATACGTGGTATCACATGGGCGAATAATTACGGTCTCGTGGTAATTAGCGCGATGATCACTGAGCACGGTCTGCACGGCGCGATTGCTGCGCGATAGAAATCGCGAGATCGTAGATTCGTTGGTCGGGATCTTTTATTTTCACACCGGCGCGACGCGGCGATGACGATACACACGCGACAACCTGTAGGACACGAATGCCGATCCTTAAACAACAATATCGTCAACGTATTTCATTTCAAACGTTACAAGTCTCGCGCATGTGTTTCGAATGAGCGCGAGTCGTCGGGATAATTTAAATCTGAAACTTGTCAGGCGCGATTGGCAAATCGACGATGGATCAACACGATTATTTTGACTTCGTCGAACAGCAGTATTTCGCGATCTCAAATGTTGTATGATGTGACTCGTTCGGAAGCAGGCCCGTTCAATGAAATAATGATAAAGAAGTAACCGATTATAAATTTATAATCTAGCCCGAGGGCGGTGGATTCTACACGAAGAGAATTTTCTTTTAAAATTTATCCTGAAAATATTGTAATGGGACAACACGGGGGGAATCTCGTGGAATTTTATAAATTTTTTTCAAAGTTACCAAACATTTTACTAGTAACTATACTTAATATACATTTTATTAGTCAAATGTATGGTAAAATTTAAAAAAACTCTTATAAAATTTCTCGAAATGCAGTGTTGTTCCACGATTACCTAATTTTCAGGATAAATTTTAAGAAAACATTCTTTCCGTATAGTCTAAACTTAGATTACGAGATTCATAACATAAAATTAGCTTAAATATAATTGAGCTTTTCACAATTTGACAGTCGTAAATGTAATACATTATCGTGTCGATCCTTTTCGCAATGTTTAATTTGATAGATGTTTAAAATCGATAAATAAAGCGACAGTCGCCATTTGCTGAGCCTAGCGCTCTTCCCATTTATAACACGCTATCAGAAGGTAACAATCGTAACAATTAAAGAGACTTATAATTATTTAATTAAATCACAATTGTTTTTATTTTTATAAGCGTTGAGATTAATATAACACTGAATCATGAAAAATAGACAGTTTTTATCGATTTCATATATTATCGATTTGACATATCTATTCTCAAGGATTTCAAGGAACTCGATTTATTACTAAAAGCAAGAATGAACCGTATACGGCTCGAAAATGAGACTCAAAGTGCTAAAAGCTTGAAACCTGCACATCGTATCATAATTCTTCAAAACTAATCGGAGTGTCATAATTGCATCGGAGATTTGTCCGTAACTTTATAAAGTTATCAGTATTTATTATTTTGTTCATCTCCTTGCGTTTCGATAGACGTTATAAAAAAACGTTCTGTTCGTTTCAACTTACAATATATGTATATAATCATATACAATGTGATAATAGGCTTAGGCGCACGCGTTACGAACGTAAAGTCAAATAATAAAGCGAGGATGTTGCAATGCAACACACGGGCCAGTATTCATAGTCCGTTGCTATGTCAAGATTATCTTAAGTAATGTTTTAAAACGCTAATATGACTCTGTGATTGATTTACAATACATTAAGACTATACTTAAGATGATCTTAAATATAAGAACGGACTATGAATACTGGCCTCGGTATGTCTGCAATAAGCTACGCGGAAATTGTAGCAATGCAAAAATTATAGGTATATATATATATATATAATTTTTGCATTGCTACAATTTATATATACAGGGTGTTATGTAATACCCGTATCAACGCTTATTGTGGGATAGAGTGGACTAGACTAATTGTAAGTCGAAAAGTCCTGTACAACTATCTGCGCGCCTAGTAACGATCGATCGATCTCGCTGCACGTTTGAATTGGGCAGTGAGCCGGCCTAAGACAGCGATATTTAATAATTAATAACTCGTTAACTATTGCAAAACCTGCAAAGTGGTACAGGACTTTTCGACTTAGTCTAGTCCACTCTATCCCACAATAAGCGTTGATTACATAATTATAATAAACAGTATTACATAACACCATGTATATAAAAAGGCACAAAATAATCGCATTAATATAGATAAATGTATAAATATATAAAAAAATAAGTAGGAATTGGACTCCGGTATATCTATGAGAAGTTGTTCACAACGCATCTCATCTGACGGCGTAGCTTGGAGTCGGTACGTTCACCGTTCCCCAGAAGAGGATGAGCTTCGTGGGGTCGTGCCTGATGAAGAATGTGAAGGGCCGATTGGCGAGCAGCTTCTTCTGATTGCCGTCCCGGCGCAAAAGGACCGCGGTTGCCGCTGCGGCTTCCGTTCCCTTCTCCGTCACGTCCATCTCCACTTTGTGCAGCACGTCGGTGGCGTACAGGCCCGGATTTACGAGGCCCGCGCTGTTTCGCAGATTGTCCAGACCGTAAAATGGGAAGCTCTGAGTCTGCATGAATTTCACGAACCTCTCGTCTATGGGTCGGCTCTGCCGTTTCCTCCTGCTATTCCTCTCGGCATTCCGGAAACGATACTTGTTCTCCTCCAAGTTCTCCTCCTTGTATCTTGTACTCGCATCGCCAGCCTTTGGCGGGACTTTTTCGAGGTCACCGTTTTCCGTGACGTACGTCACACGCGATGACTTGGTGCCGTCGCGTCCTTCGTTCCCAGCGTCGCGACGCGCTCTGTCAATCGGGCGAATGTTGAAGCCTGTGTCCCATTGCTCCACGCTGACACCGTGTCTCTTATCATCGTACGCAAAGTAATTCCTTCTCACACCATTGGTCGCGCCCTGACTGTTATTATTCCCGAACCGCGAGAAGATTAATAATTCGTCGGTCTTAGAATTCGGCAATTGCCCAGGTGGGATTTGCCGTGGCATTTGTGGTAATGCTTTTGGGATTGATGTAGGGAATGGTTGTGGGATCGATGTAGGGAATGGTTGTGGGATTGACGTAGGGAATGGTTGTGGGATCGACGTAGGGAATGGTTGTGGGATCGA